GGGCTTTGAGGCCGTTTTAAATATCTTATTTTTGTAAACTAAAAAGTACTGTGACTTTCTTGTTCCATTTCGAAATTCCTAGAGGATTAGAGCTTAACATTTAAAATTTTTTTTTGCCACCCTAATCTATGCATTATTTTGATCAAGGCATACGGATTATTTTTATCTTTCATTTTTCATGGCATTCATAGAACTCCAAGCTGGAAGGGAAATGTATTTTTGGACCCAAAACTTCCCGAAAAATCCTGAGTGGTTATCAAACAAAAAATCGCGCGAAAATCATGAAACCTCTTTTAAAATCCCGAAAGGTCTCGAAAATTCCCGAAAAAGATGCCAAACTACACGAAAAGTTGTAAAAAATCGCAAAAGCCACCGGAATATAAAGGTAAACTTCCCGACAAAATGCAGAAAAAAATCGTTAAACTTCCTGAAAAATCACCCAAAATGCCGAAGAAATTCCAAGAAAATCATAAAAAGCATAACCTTTAAGGCAGTGTCACACGATTGGTTCATTTGTACAGATTTGAACATTTTTTATATTGGGCTATTGGTGCAAAATAAAAAAAATGGGGCGATATATTTTTTTGTAGTCACATAATTGGTATAACTTAGCGAACTTCTCTTGAAAAAATTTTAACAAATTGTTCTTCGTGATTTACTTACTTTATAGACAACTCAGTTGAAATGTATAAATTTTGTAAAAAAAAAGTCTGTGAAAGTGTAATTCCTGAATTGGGACTCTTAAAAATTCCATCTGCATAAAAGCTAAGTAATCAAGCTTTAATGCAGCAATAAATTTCTTAAAGCAATTTCATAAAAATTCCACATTATAGCATTTGAGTCTAGCAACAATTCACACGGATGCCGCCATGCCACCATTTTTTGTATTTATGACTTTCTCTCCGATGAATTTAGTAACGAAGCTGATTAAAAAATCGAAAATACTTATCAAAAACTTCAATAATGCTGTGATTTCATTATTTTTTCGATTACTTTTGCGTACACTCAACTTATAGTTTTTTTATTTACTTTTCGCCAACTTTTCTCATTTTGCGCTGTTTTTCCGCTACTTTGCAGTTTTCTTTATTCTTTATTCTTTATTCTTTATTCACTTAAGTTTTTATAATCTCTTGAAATCTTTGCCTGACGCTGGTGCTGGCTCGCAGTCCGTCAGCCAGTTGCCATTGACTTGCATCTTAAAATATTTATTTACTAGCTGCTGCTATGCAATCTATGCGCTAGCGTTGCCGTTGGCGCTGCAATTCGCCAATCACTTAAAACCCATTGGGGAGCCAACAGTGTAGCGGTGAGGAAGCGCACCGCGACACTGCCACTGCTATCAGTAACAGCAACAATAAAAACAAAAATATGTAACCCCATCGCTTTGCATGGGATGCAACAACACCTAAGCAATGCCTGGCCACCCCTCGTAGGCTATGGTGGTGGCTTTACTTTGAACGAAGCATCGTTTTGCTTTTCGCTGTTACGTATCCGCCACGGCATCCGCCACCATTACCGCCTTATTTTCCTCCAAACGCTTCCATCACTTACATATATACTACTTCAGTGTATTAAAGGGGCATCGCGCAGTGTTTTTTGTGTAAGTGAATTTTTAAATTTATAAAAATGGAATTTAAAGAAAACGCAATAAAATGAAAGATAAAAATAGTAAAATAATGATAATGATCTGGACCGAGGATTAAGCTCTGCGTTACACCTAATTGAGTGTTTGTGAGGAGTGAAGATTCTTCGCGCGCCTTCGTATATACAATACTAGTTTAAGTGGAGAGAGTGGGCCCCTTGGCGATGCCCGTTTGCAGAGATTTGTTACAAGTACGAAATTATATAACTCAAATCGAAAATACTCAGAATAAATTAAACTACATCCAATCAAATCATGACAATTGAACTCAAATTTAACCAAACCAAATCGAATCCAATTAAATCAATTGAAATCAAGTGACATCATAGAGTATCAGGTTAAATCAAATCGAATCAGATCAAATCATATTAGATCGAATCAAACCACAACACAACACAACATATCAAATCACATCACATCATTTCAAATCAATCAAATGAAATAAGAAATGGAAAAATCTCATAAAAAGCATTTTGTAAATATATCTAAGCATACAAATATTTTGATTTGCCTATTTTTATGTATCTGATTAGCCAATAGCTTGCAGCTAATAAATTTATGAATTAAATGTAAACAAAAAATGTAAGGGCTATTTCATTGTGACCGGTTGGACATTTGACTCCATAATGTGATCAAATGTGAATTATAATTATGTCGTCGGAAATTGTACAAAAGTGACATATAGTTTTAAACATATGTAGATAAATAACTTATGTGTAAAATTCCTTTAAAAGAAATACCACATAATTTTTGGGGCACTGAAAATCGCCATATTTTAACTTTGTGCACGCAAGGACGAATTTTAGCCAAAACACTTAATTTGGAAGCCATTTTTTTTCTGTTTTGAAATACATACTACTTGTGTACGCTGTCGTTTTCATCAAAAATTAGGCTGATATAATTTTAAGAAAAATATTAAAAAGTATTTGAAATTGGAAGTTAGAGTTGAGTTGAAGTTAAAGTTTCCCTAAACAAAAATTACAGCTTCTTTTATTTTTCTTCCAAATATTTTCCAACAGTTTAATGAAATGAATGAAATGTATTCGTTTAAATAGCTATAGGTTACAATGGAAATAAAGATAATTATTGGAAATTTTAAATTTGGGAATGTATGTCGTTTTGCTTTTTTCCATGGAATTACCCATTAGTAAATTAAGTTAAATAAACGACGGATGCATTTTATGCAAGGCTTTGGCATTTTGAGCATTTTGGCATACATTTGTTTAATACGAATATTTCTATGTTTCTAATTAGTTAAGTTGCAAGCTATACCACTTGTTTATTTATAAATTCGTTAGTGGCAAATTTACAAATGAAATCTAAAAAAATAATAATAAAATAATTACTAATTTGATGCAGGTAATTTATGATTAGATATTTTTAGCATCTGAGTGCATTTATCCAACAAAAAATTAGCTCGCGTACAGTGGCGGGCACCAAAATCCGGACACTTATTAATCGTGCTAAGACTGCGCTGTGTTTAAGTCAGCGATGGGCAGAGAGAGCTTTTACTCTGCACGCGCCTATACGAATTGTATAGAAAGCTTAAAACAGCTTTGCCCGCGGGCAAGGCAGTGCCCGCCACCGGTTTAAGTAAATAAAAATTGTGCTTATTTTTATAAAAATTATAGTTTATCCTTCAATAAAGCCCACAAAAGCCAGAGTTACAAAATTTTATGCAAAATTTAAGAAAATTCTGCAAATTATCATTAAATTTTTTGCGTTTTTTATAACATATTTTGCACAAAAAATGCAACGCTGGTCCTTGTAAGTTTTGTTGAAGGATGAACTATATTTTTATAGAAATATGCAAACATTTTTTTTACTTAAACACACCGTAGTTTGATGTCCACAACTGTACAGGACGGTCAAGAAAAAAGTAAAATCGGGATTTTAATTCGCCCTATGATTGTTCCACAATTACAGCCCTCTTTTTTATATTGAAATCAAAAAACATTTAGAGGTCGCTCAAAGTGCTCAAAGCTTTTCATGTGTTTTATATGAAGAAAAAATCGTAGAAATCGTATATTTATCTTCAGGAGTTTTTCAGTAAAAATATACACAATTTTTTAATATTAACTATTTTTTATATGTGGCTCCACTAAAATTGCCAAAAAATACAATGGGGTGACCCATAAAAAATCGCTGGTATGGTAAAATAAATAATTGGGTATTACTACTGGAATTCTCCTGAAGAGAAACAAAGTTTTCCGGTTAAAAAATATTGATTTTCAAGAATCCTATGCCATGTCCACGAAATTGAGCGACCTCTTTCTAAATATTGTTTGATAAAAACATGGGTATACCTTTTTCGAAATAGAAAAATCCTGGGGTGAGCGCATTAAACTCAGATTTGCCTTTTTTTGGACCACCCTAATGTGCATACATCTTTGGGCAGTAGACAAAACATATTATCTCGAGTTTATATTAACTATTATTGTTTTTAAGGAGAAAGAATAGTGGATATCTATCAAATATTTTAGTACTAACCAGCTATACTAGGTGTACTTTTCCTGTTACTTTAGTAAGTTCTAGAAAAAAATATAAAATTTTTGCACGTAAGTTTGCCATAGTGTCATGCAAAACCAAGCTTTTTAAAACATATGTATGCATAAGTTTATTTTCATAAATAAATGACTCGCTTGTAAAATATAAAATTTTTTTTGTGGCGCACCTTGGTGTACATATAAATTTACACATTAATGTATGTGTGTATAAATGTGTGTCTCTACCTTCAACTTTCACCTTAAGCCGCTACGCTTGTACCATATAACTACATCCAACTTAACGTTCCGCCATTGCTTGTCTGCATGCCTTGCCTCTTCTTCTTTTTCCTTCTTCTTCTACTGTTTACAACCTTCACATACATGCCTTCACCGTTAATGCAATGGATTTTATTTCTTTACTTTCCTTTACCAGTTAACCCCTCAGCTGCTTGATCCTTGCCTTCGCGCTCTCGTTCTCGCCCTAAACTCTTCAGCTAACTTTGCCTTGTTGCCTCAACTTCACCTGTTTCCTTTACCTTTCATGCGCTAACAAACACATGCACGCTTCAACTTTTGCGCTGCCATCACCTGCTTCCGCAATCATCCGCTTTCCGTTCTACACTTTTCCGCTTGCTCTCCTCAACCCATACATACTTACATACTTACGCCACGTTGGCTTTGCTGCGCTATTTACTTTGCTGCTGTGTGAGTTTCTAATTTTCTTTTGTAATTAGTTAATTAACTAATTAATGAAGTTTGTGTTTAAATTATTTGCGCTTCGCTAAAAAGCAAAGTTAAATGAAATGGAAAAAAAAACACAGAAAATAGATTTTTCAAATTGTGCGCTGCTATTTATTTGCATATTTGCTTACCTCTCTTTAGCTGCTGAACTTTTTCAATTCAACTTTTTTTTTGCATAAACAACATTTTTAGTTTGACTTGTTGTTGGTCTATCTGTCTGTCCTCGCTGCTTTTAGTTTACTTCGCCTTTGTTGTTGCTAAATTGTTTCTGCTGCCAAGCTAATTAAATGCAGCATAACAAAACAAAAGAGAAGCAAGCATAAATAGGAATCCTGCAGAGTTCATATGCAGTTGTTGTTAGTGTATTGTTGCGTGCTCTCATTCACTGTTATTTTTTAACTTTTGTTTTTTACTCAGTTGCTCTGCGACTTTTTGTTTTTGTTTTTTTTTTCTCTTTTTGCTTTTGCACTCTGCCGTTGTTACAAATCAGACGCTGTAAAAATTTACTACACAAATCACTCATTCACAACAGCAACAAGAACAACTACAGCTACACGCCCATTTACGCAAATTACACTTACACATGTATGTATGTATGTAAGTCTACCTACGCGTCGCGCCAGCAGCCTATAGACTTGAAACTCGTAAACAAAACGAAAATGAACTAAATAAGTAAGTATGTAAAAAAAAAACAAAATCGCACTACAAAAAAACACCACAACACAACAAACCGCTGCGAATGCAACAAATTCTGACGCTACATTTTCGTCCTCCGTTTTTCGTACTACCATTCGCACTTCGTCATTTCACGCGCGTCATCCGCCATCCGCAGAAGCACCACTGACGTCCAAAAACAATGCCGCTCCAATAGTCACTGCCAGTTATGCTCGTCGATGGAGCAGCATAAGGCCACTGAAACACACCAGTTGACGTTGGCTCTGTTGCTGCTGTCGGTGCTGCTGTTGGCGCTGGTGCTGGTGCTGGTAGTGGTGTGACGCTGCCAAACTGAACCGAAGCCAGTTGGACATGTGTCGGAATTCAACAAGAAGCAAAGCGACAATCTACGAACATTTCACTGTGACGACGCAAATATGAAGGATACACGCTGAGGAGGGGCAGCAGGAGGCGCACGAGGCGGCGTGGAAGTAGATGAAAACAAGTCACCTCACCTAACAGCAAAGGCAAGTACGCAAGGCCAGCTTACGACGAAAGGCAATGGCACAACAACAATGACACGTCGGCAGTAACGATGACAACAACAAAACAAAGCCGACAATGTGTTACACGAGTAGTTCGAACGATTGACGACGGGCGGAAGGACGAGGTCGTCGACAGCAGCGCGGTTGGCGGCAGCGATTGGCGTTTCAGTACAGTAAAGTAACAGTAGAATACGGTTAAATAAATAATAGAAGTACATACTCGTACATATGTTATGTGCGGCAATGGCGACTCGAACTGTACGCTTTTGAGAGAAACATAATGCAAATGAACATGTAGTGGAATAAAATAGGATAGGATAGAAGGATAGGATTGAATAAAATAGGATAGGTCAGGCTAGTAGAATTCGATGGGATGGTGGGTTAGGATGAGATAGGACAGGATAGATTAAGATAAGATGCGAAAGGAAATGTTGGAATAGGACACGAAATTGGAGTAAGCTGGTAAAAACTAGAGGTATGGATGCCCGATGATATAAGAAGGTCGATTTTTCTGCAAACTTCCTTGGCTCCCTAAATAATCTGGGAAATCAACCAAGATATATGGAAATAGATTAATCTTAACATTAAAAGGCCGCAAAGATATTGCGGTGTTAGCAGTTAAATTTTCGTAAAAAAATCATAGAAAGACTAGTAGACCCACATATTAGGGATAAGCTGAGACCTGTAACTCCATAAACTCCATAACACAACACCCAGTTTGCGTATGTCAACGGTAAATCGACAGATCGACCTAAAGTATATGGTTGGTAAGATAGAAAATGAAATCGAGTTTAAGGAGGTTGCTCTATGTGTCTTCCTGGACATAGATGGTGCTTTTGCTAATACCAGCTGCGAATCTATCTCAAGGGCACTGGTCCAATGAGGCAGAGATCTGTCCACTGTCGGTTGGATCGTACCATGCTTCGTCAGCGTGATATCACATCGCGCCAAGGAAACAGCTCCGTTAACATCAGAGCAATAAGAGGTTGCCCATAGGGAGATGTTCATTCTCCTCTACTCTGATCTCGCGCCGTGGATGACCTCTTAACCCAACTACAGGAAAGTGGTTACGATACTATTGGTTATGCGGATGACCAAGTAATTATTTTGAAGAGAAAATTTGGCGCAATGTATCAGGCGTTATTAGAACCATTTACAAGAAGGTACAAGCCGAACATTAGTTCGCTTACCCTTGGTGAAACAGTGCTTGAATACGCTAACGAATTCCAATATCTCGGGGCTACCCCGATAAGAGACTAAGTTGGAGTTCAAATGTAGATAAAACTCTTTGAAAGGCTATACCAAACCCCCATAGTACCGTGGCCAAAAACGCTGAAAAAAATCGACCACTTCACGTCTGAACAAACTCCGAAGGATTGCTCTACTGCTGCTGACAGGAGCAATGAGAACGTGTTGAACCGCGGCCTTAGAGTCGCTCCTATGTTGGACTCCTCTCCAAATTCTGACAGTACTTTTAAAAACAAGACACAAAAAAAAAATATTTTGTCCAAAATACCAGATCTAGGAATCAGCGAATTCTCCGATGCTATGCCAAAAGAAATCTGCTTTGGAAGGAAATTCAGGTCAAAATTCCAGATCGATATGTCTGATCAAAGGGTTTACGAGAACTAGATCTCAGATATGTATGTACTTACACTGGAACACAGGCGTATCAAAGATGCAGGGCAGAGTACAAGCGGGTGTCTTTGGACCTGCCACCAAGCTTTCTATTGCAATGGGTACTTGGGCCATGGTCTTTCAGGCCGAGGTACTAGCAATCTCAATTTGTGCCAAACTGAACCTTGACAAGGGTTTAAAAGGCATGTTTCAAGATATCTTTTCAGATAGCGAGGAGTGCTTTGACGCTCTCGAGCTCTTGGCAGCAGGGAACACGGTACTGCTATGCTGACCACTAGGAAACTGCTGGAACGTGGGTAACGAAGCCGAATACGAATTTACAAGGGAAGGATCATCGCCTGTACATGTGTGGCCGGAAGCGTTTTGTGGGCTTAGTTGGTCCTCCTCGAGGCTAATAATGGAATCGTGAGTAAACTCAGAACGCAGTAAGTACTGCTGCATAGATGTAGGCGGCCTTAGACAGATCAGACAAATCTTTTCAACATACCCGACCTGCGCCATCACCTACTCTAGATGGGAGACGGATTGCCGCGTTTGCCTTGAAGACGAGGAGACGTCAGTGCTATATTATCGGAGATAATTAAGATGCTGCAAGCTCTTTTTTTATTAGTTGTTTAGCCAAATAATGACAAAATCAACTTTGCATAGGTAAATCATATGTATAATTACAATTGTATTATGCATTATTTAAATGAAAAAATAGATGCAAAATTTTCACAGAGCGTTGTAGATTTTTAATTTTTCCGCAAAACCGTAGTAAATTTAATACGCTGGGAACACTGTTTCAGGAACTGGAACAAACGGAACTATGGAGCAAAAGGAAACGGTGGTTAGCGCCATCTAGCGAAAGAATCAAGCAAATATGCTTGAATAAATAAGTAGGCTGAAGCAGCAACACTGGTTTGTGAAGGGGTACAATCTGACGTTTTCCAGTAGTGCATCTTAGACCCAAACCGATAAGGTGGTGAAATATCCATTTGACGTGGTGAAATATTGCAAAATCTGACGTTTGATTTCTCCAAATTATTTATTCTGTTTACATTTCTCGATAAAATAAATAAAAGAAAAAGAACTCTGTTTTAAGTGGTGAAGTATTGCAGAAACAAAGAAAATTAAATAAAAATCAGACAACAAGAAATGCATGATAAAAACATGACCAAATGAAATAAAAATTAAAAAGTGCAAAATCCCACAGAGAAAAGTGCGTCGGATGTTACACAAAATAAACAACTGACGAAAGTTCTGGAAAAAGTGCATAAAAACTGCAACAATATTGTAATAATAACAACCAATGCCCACTCAGGTATCTCTCTGCGTTATCAAAATCGAAATTGATCCACAACTGAATGAGGATTTAGGTGCGTATATCAAAAAATGCATTCCATTTATATTCCCTTTTAACACAATGCATTTACTTCCAGAGCCTGGTGCAACCTCCGCTGAGCATCCTACAAACCCGCGCATGCTAAAGGAGCGCGAGCGTGACCGTGGCTTGCGACAATCTAGAGAAATTATAATCGAAACCTACACAAATCAGTTGTGGGCTGGTCAAGAACAGCTGCAGCCAGTAACAAAAATCGAGCAACAGGCAGGTGGTGCGATGATGGAAATGAGCGCTGAACGTAAGCGAAATTTTCGTGCTACAGCTAGTGGTTCACGTGAGGCCACACCACTCGAGGAAGGGCAGTGTGCACCTGAATTTCCAAAGGAGATTGGTTTCTACTCTGGCAATCCGGAAGTAACTAATGGTATAGTGCACTTGTACAAGAAAAAGTGAGTATGTCTCGGATTTTAGATTTATCTAAATTAATATTTCTTGGTTTTTGTAGTGAGCGCAAGGAGTTAAAGGAGGGCCCATCGGACATTCTTTGTCTTCTCGCGGTGCCTGCAAGTGTAAACTGCCATGACTTGCTGGACTTCGTGGCGCCCTGTCAGTCAGAAATGCGTCACATACGCATTGTGCGAGATGGTAGCCCCAATCAGTTTATGGTGATACTAGAGTAAGTGAAGGGATATTTTCTGCAACGAATTTTGTATTCAACTAATTGTTTTTCAGATTTCGCTCAAATACCGCTGCTTTGGAATTCTACCAGTCCTACAATGGCGCCGCTTATAATTTGCTTGAACCAGACTCACTCTGTCACGCCGTTTGGGTGTCGGAAATAGAACGCGGTGGCAATGCTGGGCCACCAGCTGGCCACACCGAGCTGCCTAATTGCCCAGGTATAATAATAGCTCTAATTACTCACTTACATAAATACTCAATACTGATTTATTTTGTTGCCAGTCTGTCTTGAGCGCATGGATGAGAGCGTCGATGGCGTCTTGACCATACTCTGCAATCATGCCTTTCACGCAAACTGCCTTATCAAATGGGGTGATTCGACGTGCCCAGTGTGCCGCCATGTGCAGACCCCAGAATTGCTTGAGAACTCTGTTTGTATGGAATGTGAGGGCACAGATTCACTATGGATTTGTCTGATTTGTGGTCATGTTGGTTGTGGGCGTTATCAAGGTGGTCATGCTGCAGCACACTATCGCGCTACTAACCACACTTTCGCCATGCAGTTGGGCACTTCTAGTGTTTGGGATTATGCAGGTGACAATTTTGTACATCGGCTCTTTCAAAATAAGACTGACGGCAAGCTGGTAGCTACTGCCAATGATGAGGGTGAAGAAAAGATTGATTCAATGCAGTTGGAGTTCACATATTTACTCACTTCGCAATTGGATACGCAACGTCAATACTATGAAGATCGCTTGGATCGTATAGAGAAAGAATGGCGCGACTTCAAGTCAGGAGCCGATAATGCCAGCAGCAAAGTCAGCGCCTTGGAACAGAAAGTACTAACCCTGACCAAGGAAAAGCAGGCTCTGGAGCGCAAGTTGGCGCAGAATACTACAAAGTAAAAAACAAACACTTCTTAAAGGGAATATATTTTATTAAAATTTGGATATTTTGCAGATTGAAAGAAGTACAAAAGCAGCTCGCCGAGGAAAGTGAATTCTCTAAAACTCTACAAAGCAATCACAGCTCTTGGCAGACTAAATATGCAGCACTTGAAAAACAATACAAGGACTACAAAGAAGCGCGTGAGGCTGAACTCAACGATGTCAAGGAGCAACTGCGCGATATAATGTTTTATATGCAGGCACAGAGCAAGATTGCTGATTCTGAGCTAAAAGACGAAATTGTTGGTGGCACGGTGGTAGTGCCGGAAGTAGATGCTGCTAGCACTTCGACTGGCAAAGGCGGCAGGCGCAAGAAGAAACACTAAAATGCTTTTAATAATTATTCTCATTTAAACTTTATTGCATTAGACATTTTAGTTGGTTTTTGTAATTGCATTAATAGAGTTTTTACTGTCTGAAGCATATTTTCATAGACTTAGTAATTAAACGTGCATATACACATACATACTAACATTCAAATTAACTAAAGTAAATGCTATATCATGTAAGTTAACTTTTTAGAACCAGATTAAACCTTTGTAATGTGATTGCTGATTTTATAAATGTGCATACCAACCTTCATGCAAACATACACATATTGCAAATATGTAAATTCATATACCGTAATAAATACATATATGCGTCTTATATTTGTACATAGACGAAATCAACGGCGATCCTTTTTATCACTTGAACGAAGTAGTTCAAGCTACAATTGAGGATAAACGTCGAGGGCGAGGCAAAATTGGCCGGCAGGTTTTTAATTATGCTGCACCTATTTGGTCACCCAAAAGGGTCTAGTTGGATGCAGTGGACAACGCTTCAGCGAACAACGAGGGTATCGCTCCCGATGTCTTCCGAAAACCAACTGCATAGCGGGCCATCTATGCGCCAGTTAAGGAGCACAACTACGCTAAGCAAACAGTTTCTGGTTGTCTGCTACCGTCTTCCTCATTCTGTACCACCACCAACGTGGAGCACATCAAATACTTTCAGGGCTGGGGTATTCGCATCCATAGGTAGGATATGCTATAAAGCTCATGCTTCTGAGCTATACATCACAAAAGTCACGTTGATTCCCTTTCAAGTTTAATTTTGGTAATATGTATTAACCAATTTTTGGTTGATTTTTTTCTCAGTGTTATAATCTTGGCACCATCAGGCTGGTTACGTTTTAGCTATAAATAAATAGAAATTTGATTCACTAGTTCGGACTTTTCTGCAAGGTATATAGGCTCTTCCTCTTTTAATGTTTGTATGCTCACAAATTAGCCAAGCCGGGTCCTAAGTGAAAAGGCTCCTAGGTGCCACCTTGCCCTTCACGCTCGATGAGAGCTTGTCCGCCATATTTTAATAGAATCTATTGAAATTTTATATTCTATAATCAAGACTAAAGAGTTTAAAGATTAAACATCCAGTATGAATATACTATATATTTATGCATGTATATATACATTAGGGTGCATCATACTGCATACAAAAAAAAGTTATAAAATAGGTTCTGTTATTCCACCGGAGTTATAAAATTTAATATAAATTCTTTAAGGCTTCCGCCAAAATATTTTGGAAAAATATTAAGATTTAATGTTTGCATCCAATTTTTTAAAAATATTATCACCGTACTTAAACTAAATAATTCGATTTTTTTTTAGAAATTTTCAAGTCGATCCAGTTCAGGTTATTCTTAATGTGTGAAATATTTTGGCTTAAAATATAATAAATTTTATAATGCCAGTGTAAAAACGGCAACTTTGTTTATGAGGAACCCCAATAGGTACATGCATTGATATTTATACTCGTACTAACAGCACCCAAATCACAACCATTAAACAATTTTGCAACTTTTTAAAATGCAAAATAGACAAAGCGCGCGCAAATGTCTTATTTCGCATTTAGTTACTTGAACGAGTATATGCAATTATATGCGCATTAGGGTGGTTCAAAGTAAGTTAAGTCGGAATTTCAATGATCTTACCTCCTAGGATTGTTCTATGTCGAAAATAAGTACACCCCTTTTTTTTTATTTTGAAACCAAAAAATATTTAGAGGTCGCTCAAAGCGCTCCAACTTTTCCATGAATTTTGTATGGGGAAAAAACAACTTTTCGTGGAAATGGTATGCAGTTCTTGAAAATCAATATTTTTCGATCGGAAAACTCTGGTTCTCTTCAGAAGACTTCCAATAAAAATATCCAAATATTTATTTAACCATTTTTTAATATCGAAGACTTCTAATTAATCCCCCCATTGCATTTTCTGGCATCTTCTAGGGGTTTTGGCGGTTCTATAAAATATAGTTACTATGAAAAAAATTGTTAAACAATTAATTGGGTTTCATTATTGGGAATCTGTTGAAGAGAAACAGAGTCTTTCGATCGAAAAATATTGATGTTCAAGAATTCCATACCATTTCCACGAAAAGTTCTTTTTTCCCATACAAAATTCATAGCAAACATTGAGCGCACATTTTTGGACCTCCCTAATGTGCATGCATACAAACGCTTGTCTGTTTTTCACTAATCACTGTAGAATCTATTCGAAGTTCTTAATTCTGTTTGACTGACCTTGACCCTCGCAAATTAAATAAAAATTATTTATGAGTGTATAAATCGGCATTTGTATATAAATATAGAAATGTATATATTCATGCCGACATACATATGTATGTATGTATGAGTATAAGTACACATGTATACTATGTATAAGTGACAGAAAAAATCTTTGTTTGCAAAAATACATATGTATGTATGTAAATATGTACACTCATTTATACGATCTATAAAATTATGACTAATTTTGTCGTTTGTCGGTAGCTTAGTACGTAAAATAGTAGGTACATATAATTCAAATTTTGCAAATATATACACGAAAATATACAAAATTGTATAACTACTTTTAAAGGTTGACTTAACAGTTGAGGGGAAAATTTAGTTCTCTTTTACGTATGTACCTATTCATATTTTTGTATTTATGTATGCATTTACTTATGGACATATACTATTTACATTAGGGCGGCTTACTTTTTATGGAACATTTTTTTCGACATCCTTCGCAGCAGATCAGGGTCCTACATAATATTCTAAAGAAAAAATTTCGAGCACCCAAATTTTAAAAGAAGCTACCGTTAATTAATACCAAGTTAATATGAAAATTAATACTTACTAAAGTATTATTAATGATATTTTGAAAATAAATTTTTTAAATAATTTAAAATGTAATTGTTGTTGGTTGCTTTAAAAAATTTAGATTTATTTACAAAAAAACACAGTCAATTTTCCTATTAAATAACTTAATAATAAAAAAAACTATTTTTAAAGCAAGCTTACCAAATCGAACCTTAAATATGAGTTTCACTCCTGCGCCATCTAGCGGATTAATTCGTCTTTCATATTGCATTGTCATCGGATTCTGAGTTAATTTTTTGAAGAATCCGAATCTGCTGAGAAGGATGTCGAAAAAATTAACTCACCCTAATGTAAATGCATGCATAGGAATGAAGTAAAGTTATCCCCCCGCTTCGTGACAGTATCCCATTCTATTTCCAAAATATGTATGTATATACAAAAATTTTCATATTTTACAATATTAAAGTTTGTCGTTTTGGGCTGATATCAAGGCACATTAAACAGGTAGTATCAGTAGAGCAAAAACAACATTTGCGTGTATTTTGTTATTGTTGTTGTTGTAGCGGCTACAACAACCCCGCCCAGATCGGTTGGTATCTAAGCCGTTGTCGTCAAGTTCCACTAACGGCAACCCTAGGAAGCGTGCAGCTTCTGCGGGGTTTGCCCATAAGGACAAGGCCGTTAGGGATGTCGGGTTTGCCGGGCATGCGAAGAGATGTTTCGAGTCATGTGGGGTCTCTCCGCATGCCGGACATTCGTTCGGCACATCCTCATTCAGCCTACTCAAGTAGGAGTTTAACCTGCTGCAGTAGCCGGAGCGAAGTTGTGCGAGTGTGGTGCGTGTCTCCCGAGGCAGATGAAGCTCCGTCTCGTCTATGTCCGGGGGTGGTGTGCCTAGAACGGCATTCACAGGTCTAGAGTCTACATAACTCGAGACTGAGTCCCTGTGAATGCCGTTCAGGGCCTGTCTGTAAGCTGTCGGGTCCAGAGGTTGCTTAATGAACCTCTGGACTTCGTCCGTTAGTTCATATAGATGCCTCCTGACGTGCCTAGGCGAGGGCTCCTCTGCAAGCAGCTGTCTGCTTGGGTGGCCACTTCTGTGGCTCCCGATCAGGAACTGCTTGCAGAGCATTATATTATGCTCCTTTACCGGGAGCATTTGCGCCTCGCCGTGCAGGTGGTGTTCAGGCGACATCAAGAGGCATCCCGTCGCTGTCCTCAGTGCGGTGTTTTGTACAGTCTGTAGCTTCGTCCACTGCGTCCTACTAGTCCCTGGCGACCACACTGGCGCTGCGTAGTTCAAAACCGGCCGGCCTATTGCCTTGTATGTTGCCAGCAACGTATCTTTGTCTTTGCCCCAAGTACTGCCGGCTAGCGACTTGAGGACCTTGTTGCGGCTCTGTACTTTATTGACAATAGCGGTTGAGTACGCAGAGAAGGAGAGCAGGCTGTCGAATGTTACTCCGAGTATTTTGGGGTTATTCACCGTCGGAATTGGTGTGTTATCGACGTGAATCCCCAGCGGTAGCCTGACCTCCTTCGTCCAGGTTGTGAACAGGGTCGCGGAGGATTTCGTAGGGGAGAGGGCTAGACACTTTGCAGTGAAGAAGCGAGAAAGTTCGGAGAGATAGCCGTTTACTTTCGAACACAGGTCATCAATTCCATTCCCAGTCGCCATAATCGAGCAATCGTCGGCATAGGAGACAATCGAGACTCCCTCTGGTGGTTGAGGGAGCTTTGAAATATAAAAGTTAAACAGTAGCGGGGAAAGGACACCACCCTGAGGAACCCCCTGTTTTATTTTTCGCTGCTTACTCGTTTTGTCTCTAAACATTACCGACGAATGTCGACCACTTAGATAATTTGCCGACCACCGTTTGAGCCTCTGTGGGAGAGAGGAGGCCTCTATATCTTCTAGTAGCGTGGAATGGCAGACGGTGTCAAACGCCTTTGACAAGTCCAACGCTACTAGAATCGTTCTCTCACAGGGACGGTTACGGTTAAGGCCACGAGTTATCTGAGTGTTTATGGCGTTAAGTGCTGTTGTTGTACTGTGCACTTTACGGAAACCATGCTGATGCTTCGCTGGGGTCAGGTGATTTGTGAAGTACGGGAGTAGCAAGGCCTCGAGTGTCTTCGCTACCGGGGAAAGGAGTGTAATCGGACGATACGAATCTCCTTTGTTGGCAGGTTTCCCCGGTTTGAGCAGTGGGACCACTTCCCCACCTTCCAGATGTCTGGGATGATGAGAGTGGCCATTGACAAATTGAGGACCTCCGTTAGGTACGCTACCCCCCGCAGGACCCAAATTTTTCAGCATCAGCATGCATATTCCGTCGGGACCCATGGCTTTGGAGGCTTTCGCCTTCCCGATGGCCATCCGAACTTCACCGCAAGTGAAAGCAAGGGGGCACAAGTTGTTGGCAGTTTGTGCAGCCTTCTGGTCACTCGACGATTGGCTTTGTCCACC